ATGTCAGAATTTTTCGATAAATTATAGAATGTTTCTAAAGCAAGAATAATCAATGCATCATCATCAGGATTATTTGATGATGGACTTTGTAGAATTTTGATTAAACGATCAATAATATTTGGTGCATGTTTATCGACAGAAGGTAGTTGGGGAACGTTGAGAAGTTGTTGATATCGTTCAAAAATATAAGAAAGACTAGAAAATGTAAGAGGTGGTGGTCGATCAAGAGCATGTTCGAATCCTGTTAAAAGTTCATCATAAATATTATAAACGAAACCGGGTTTATATAATGAGTTCATCCAATCTTGTGAAGGTAGCGAGGCTACAGGCATATGTTCCCAACAAGTAAACAAAAGAAAACGATCGATATCAGTAAGTGTCGTGCCATATTGCAGTTGATGTACTGCTTGAATATAATCATATGAATCAATACAGTTCAGCACCACTAAATTACATAAAATCTTAGTTGTAACACATAAATTATGTGAAAACGTCTATACAACAACTTACAAGCGTCAATTAAACATGCATTTCGTTCCATACTGTGATAGAATGGAGATCCTTGTAATAACTTTATTGCTAACAAACCTAATGTACATATATTTGGATCATCATTAGTACCGTATTTATGCATAGCACAATCCTCAATTTGTTGACGTACTAAACTGAGAAACTTTTTTGTTACTAATAGATCTGTTATTCTTTGTCGATCTGCATCGGCATTAGTTGTAGATGCGTGTTCAGCAGCATGTACAAAAATAAGTACAATCTTAAGAAATATGTCCGATTCTTGAATGTTTAGACGCATTTGAGACGTCTGCCAGTTACTTAATATATCAACAAGCATTTGATTTAGAAAATGTATAAGTGGATGAGCAAGAACTTTTGGATCGAGTAATTTATATGGTAAAATTGCTAGAACAGCATTTGCTATTTCTTCTACAGCATCTAAAAACATATTTGTTGTCGTTTCACCACTTTTTTCCATGTGTTCAAATGCAAGAAGAAATTCATTAAACATAGTACAAATATCATTTGAAGAAAGTTTGTCATCAATTAGATCGTTTTGAATAGCAGATAAATTAATTTGATTGACCATTATTGGCGACATCAGTGGCATTGTATCTTCTGTTGTCATGATGATGGAAGTTTTATTAGAAGTCTACAGTTCTATTTAAAAACGTTTATTATGAAGAAATGGATAATTAGTAACTATGGCAGTTGAATCTACTCATTAAATAATATTTCAAATACCTGTATTTATATACTTTTGCAAGAAGCGACAAAAAATATGCTTGATTAATGAAGGAGAACGTCCTTATATACATTTAATTTCTCCCTTAATTTTATGATACTTGTCTAATCATAGTGTTTTTGCTGATATAGCTTTCATTTCATGAGAAAAAAAAACAAATGAACTATACTTTGGTACAATCATTGCAGTTGTGTCAAGTGTTCAAAATGTTTTGTCATATTTTTTATTTTGCATGTAACTGTGAGCAAAACTATTCTAAAATGTTGATATTTTCTTTTCAAATTATGCACCATTGAATGTTCTAAACGGATCACAAGATAAAGTCTTTATATCTATTTTCTAAATTTTAATAGACCATTAATACTGAACACATTTATTATCGTCTTGATTCTTACAAAGAACAATTGGAAAATCCATTTCATGACTAATCACTAAGCTCATTTTTATTCAAATCAATGTTAGATAAAATGAACTGTCTCATGCATTTTAAAAAATCAAAACAGTCATTATTTCATAAATTATTCCTATAAGATCATTATTAATTTCTCCTCAATAGATTTTCATCATCTTTAGTTGAAACCAAGTCTTCATTATATTATTTTGTTAAATTTAATTCTTTTTTATTATTTCTTTCAACATAAAGAAAGTTTAATCTAGCGATTTCTGCATCGAACTCAATGTTTTTAAACGATATATTGAAGAGTAAAACAGAAAAACAAGAACGTTTTATTTCAAGGCACAGTATCTCGATCAATTGACGCAGACGTTATTTTTCACTTTTATATTTAACATGAGAATAAATAACACTCGTCATGCTTTGAAGATCCAACTAAATCTCAAATTGATCTCAAACATCATAGTTAAAATAAATGAAGAATATTTATTAAAATTTGGCTTTCTCTTATTTTTCCTTTGTATGAAATAACACGTTGATATATTTTTTCAATGTTAAGAGTCGATTAAAATTTAGAAAGTACCTATAAAGATTTTATCTTGTGATCCAATTAAAATATTCAATACTATATCTTTTGAAAAACAAGATTAACGTTTTATCATGCTTATGAATAGAGGGTACATACAAAACAAAAAATATCGCAAAACTTTTACTACACCTGATATTTATTTACATGGAGATTTTTTGTTTCATTTTCGAATAATTACTTTATGTACTATCATCAAAGGAAAAAGAGCTGAAATCAGGTTGTTTTTTTATTATAAACTCGAGAATAAACACTTGATTCTTTTTTTTAAATTTTCTGTCAGCTTAAAATAAAAAAGAAATTAATGTTATCAAAAACTGCAAAAAACAAAAATCTGAAAAATCGAAAACAACACTTTTTTGTAATTATGATGGTAGACTTTATCTTTTAAATATACGAATCATCTTCTGTTAATAGCTAAGTTCTACCTACACACTTAAATTATAAGAAAATACTAAAAATCAAGTCACAAACCGTTGATTGACTATTACTCTGAAAACATACACTAACTAATTCACAAATGATCGACAGAAAAAGAAAAACAAATCTTACTTGATGCAATCGTCGATTTTTGCTGATAAATTACCCTTCATGGTTGTAATTGAAGGACATTGATTCATTATAGTGACGTTATATATTGATCTTTGTCATAAATAAAGAGAAAATTTTTGTTTTGCTGTTTTCTAAATGGATTTAGTTTTCTTTATCTATAAAACAAATATCGGATTTTTGTTTGTGTCAACAAGGCACGTTTTCTCTAGAGAATAATTAGAATTTTTGTAAATGTTGCCTCTTAACTCGAAAAATTTGTATTTATGAAAAGTATTCTCAAAGTGATTCAGCGTCAACATACAAATTTTATTTAATTTGTAGTGTATATATTGGTCCATGCAAGAGTTAAGTATTTTCGTTGGTGTATTTATTTATTTTTCATTAACATAAGGTCATTCCTTTACATAACAAAACTATATTAACTCAAACATCTTAGCTATTTTTTCAAATTTCTTCACATTTATTAGCATTCATGTATATGCATACTTCACACCTATTCGACCATTTTAATATCTTTTAATTTTAATTACACTTCTTCTGTATAAACTGATGGCCAAATGATGAAAAGTTCGTCTTATAAAACAAACTGTATATGTTTAAATTCTATTTCTTAAAAAGACTATTCATGCATGGTTACTACATATGATTAGTTTCTTTTTTGATCATTCTCGAATCTTTTTTGCATGCACATGTGAGAATTTGATAAAAATAAAAAAAACGTTTGCATGTTATCATATGTGATAGTTACATGCATGTAGATGTACAAATTACCATTGCGTTTCATCACGAATATAGTATTCTCTAGAGCGCTTAGACATGCATGTTGTGTAAATGTACATCATGTATGTATATGTAGCATTTTGTGTGTAGTTACATATGGATTTGAAGTTTTCATACTTAACTGGACAATTGAGGAAAAAAATCTATCTTATGATATTGTATTTAAGAATTTAAGTCATTTATATTGTCATTACATCGAAAACTGAGTAGATAAATATTATTTTCTTAAATTTAAAAAAAAATAACGTAAAAAAGTCGTTATTAATTAATATATGAAAGCTTATGACATGTGTTTATAGGCAACTTTTGTAAACTTATCTAGGTAATTTTTCTGACAGAAGATAAGATCAATGTTTTTATCACATTTCAATCAGTCAATTTCGACCTAGACAAAATATTAATTTAGTTTTTTAGATTTGGTTTTATTGTTGAGAATTTCGAAAATCGTCATTTTAAAAGTAAAAGATCTAAAAATGATCTTGTTTATGCTAGTTGTTATGATAAAAAAATAGGTTAAAAAGCAAAACAATTATCATATTCACAATCAGCATAAAAATCTACATAGGCTCGCATGCATTTTAACACAATTAATTTACCACTAACATCATTTTTCTTCCGAAATCTTGTCTTTGATCTATTTTTCATTTCACACAGTATCTGTTGACATATATGCTGATCAGGGTAGATTTTTACGCTGATTGTGAATATAATGCCTATTTTGTTTTTCAACTGAGTTTTGATAATAATAGCTATATACAATAAACAAGGGTATTTTTTTTCATTTTACTTTTTTAAAATGACGATTTTTGAATTTCTCAACAATAAAACCAAATCTAAAAAACTAAGTAAGTATTTTGTCTAGGTCGAAATTGACTGATTGAACTGTGAAAAAAAAAGATTAATCTTATCTTCTGTCAGAAAAACTACCTAGATAAGTTTACAAAAGTTGCCTATAAACACATGTCATAAGCTTTCATATATTAATTAATAATGATTTTTTTACGTCATTTATTTTAAATCTAAGAAAATAATATTTAATCTAGTCAGTTTTTGATGCCAATTTAGAAGAAAAAAGATATTTTCAAAGATTTTTCAGAAACTCAAGAGTTTTTTTGATAAAGAAGTTATTTTTGTTATAAGTGAAGTGTTATTTGAATTTGAATTTTTTTCAATGAAGGTATAATTGCATTGAAATAAAAAGATACATATTAATAATCAACTCATCAAGCTCTATCAAATCGTGTATATATAAATTAATGAGAATACAATACACTTCAATTGTGTGTTATGTGCATCTTACTTTATAATTTTTACATTTACATCTTTTGAGAGAAAAATTTTAAATCTTTCGCATCATAAAATAATCGATAAAAATTTACAAAAATTTTCTCTTATCAAATAATGTTACAACGAATACTAAAATATAACAATAATAATAATTTACTTTACGTTGTGTTTTCGAAAATGAATGTAAACACTTGTGAGTTTATCGAGTACTTATAGAATAACATTGTTTATTTAGCTACGTCAATAACGTTATTCATTGCTAACTATAAGGAAATATTTCACAGATAAATTTTTCAAAATTTCAATTCATATAAAAAGAAAAACAATATTAAATTGTTCAAAAGAAAGTATTATCAAAACCTTTATTTATCATCTTGTACATGTTCTTCCAAATATTCCCTATCAATGCATAGATTTAAAGGTAAATCATAAGCACCAACAGCATCTAAACAACTAAGAAAATGAAGATAAGTAGAAATTGGTAAAAGTTTATCATGAAGTTTTAAAAGTTCAAATTTTAATGAATGGTACATCAACATTGAATTACTTCTGCACATACCATATAAGTAGTTTAATTCATCTCCATTAATTCCATTACAAAGTGGTAACAAATTCGAAAGATTTTTTTTTATGAGAAAATTTCGTACAACATTCTCATCCCAATTAAAAATACTATCGAAGTTTATTGTTTCTTCTATTTCATGATGATAATCTTCAACTTCTTCGTTTACGTTTTCCTTTTTTTGATTATCTATTTCAATTTTCTTTTTCATTCTAAAATAATTCTTCACAATGCTTGTTAAAGAAAATCTTCACTATTTTATCTTACTTAGCAGTTTCTTTAGCATCTTTACGTTTTTTCTTTTGTAATCGTATTTCATTGTCAAGTAATTCGATTGCTTTATCAAACTCATACGTACCAAAATCGATATACATTCGTGTACCTAATATAAAACCTAACCATCCATCTGGTACATAATCTTTTTTCATCTTAATTGGAACTATA